TATAATAAGAACATAGAAATTTAAATAAACAGAAATAACCTAATAAAGAGATAAAAATAAATTAATGTAAATTATGTGAAAAGTATGTAAATTATATAAATTAAAACAAATAAATAAAACAAGTACAATAAACATAATATAAGTAAAAAGTAGAAAAATCATGTAAAATCTTGATAAAGAAAAAAAAACATAAAAATGCATAAAAAACTAAAATATATATGTATATAAATAACAAAGAAAAATAAAAGACAACTAAAAAAATAAACAGACAAAGATGGCGTGAATAAATAAAAGCACCCACCGTTCTCATTGGTTTTTAACACTTCCCTGCTCTCGTCCAGTTTCTGAACTGTAGCTTCGAATTGTTCCTTTAATTTCATTACCTAAAGCAAAAGAAAATGTTGATAAAAAGAAGTATTCCTCAAACAGGCATTTGTTGGCAGCAGACGGTACCTCTTCCTCTTTCTGTCGGAGCTGTTGTTGGGTGTCCTGCAGCTCTCGCTGCCCCCGCTGCAGTTTCTCTGTAGTTTCCTGCAGGATCTTTTCTTGAGACACCGTCACTGTGTTCTTCACCTTGATCTTCCCCATCAGCGCCTTCAGATCCCCCTGGAGCTTCTTGATGATGCCGTTCGCCTGCATTGAGAAATTATGTCTGTGAGACGTGTTCAACTGGACTATAGATATGACTTATTTTTAAACATCGACGCAAACCTTGATGAGCTCCTCCGACAGGGACTTTACCGTGGCCTCCAACTTGCTGATTTGAACTTGCTTACTTTCAACGTTTCCTTCGACAGAATTCTAGCAAAGATACAAGTAAAAAAATAAATACATAAAGTGACATCCATGTCATATTTCATCCCAATATTAAAAGAAAAAAAATTATACTTATATACACACTCATTAATGAGAATATTTTTGTCATTACTCTTGAGAATTAAATAGTATCAAATATATTTATTAATTTAAAATATGTAAAATCAAATAAATTTAATTTAATCCTATTTTTAAAAGTAGATCATATACATTACATATTTGAAAAATACTATTATATATAGCATTACTGAGAATTAAAAATGATAAAATATATAGACAGAAAAAGAAACATATAGAAAAATCACACACACCCACACACAAATATATACACTAGGCATGTGACGGTATCAAATTTTCATGTTGTGATAATTGCTACAGCTTTAATCACAGTATACAGTAGTGATGCGCGGATGAGCTAAAATGTCACTTGAATCCGCAGCTTCAAATCAACCGCCCGCACCTATACTTTTCTCTGATTTAGATAACCACACCCGATCGTCACATTCAGGGT